GACATTAAACTATCATATTTAGTGAAAAAACTACTAGTAATCTCAGGACATGGAACTGGCTGCTTATGAAAGTACTCGTAATTTACAAAAATGGCGCTTGAGAAGTAGAGAACGCTTTTTCTCTTGAGAAGCGTTCGCAGCGCTCGAGGCGAAGGCGCGAGGGCGCGATCATACCGGGTGACTATTATATCCCAGATAACAAGGTCACTACAAGTGATATATATTAAGGATTGAGAAGGTGTGTATCCACAGAACTATCAGGTCAACCCACTTAGAAAGCGCAAGTAGTTCCAAGTATGTAATTCACAGTTTAATAAAAAAAATTTTATCCACAGAGCTATCAAGCCAACCCACTCAGAAAGGTGCAAATATATGGCGGAGTGGCGGGAAATTAGTGAGCTAAAGTAATTGTTTTTTAAACTGAATTGCTAGTGCCTCTAACAACCAGCTCGTCATATTTTATCCGGAATACACATAGAAAATAAAAAATATTGAAATAGACCGAATCCAGGGCGACTAATATCAGCGCAGAGGATTAGTCGGGGAGCTAAAGGTACGGTTCGCGAACAGGTACAGAAGATAAAAATATGGCGTCGGGAGTGTACGTGGTCCGCGACGAACAACCTTGTACCGGTTTCGCGGCAAAAAATTGTAAGGGAGGGGCGCTATAGCGCAATATAGGTTCAGTGACGCCTCCTTTTTTCCAGTGACTCCGCCTCCAGACTCCGCCTTCAAGGCCCGCCGTTTCAGTGAAAAGGACGAAAAGCATGAAAATCGTCACTTGTACGGTCGTAGAGTTCTTATCGGGGAATCAGCTGTGCGGATGAGGGCGTAGTATTGAAGATGGATTAATTGGGCACGTACAAACTGGGATCGGAATGGGATGCTATCTAGGGCGGTTGGCACGTTTTTTCTTTTTTTCTTCACTATGGAGTCACTCGGAACCTTGTTGTCTATATCGTCTATATGCAATCCCCTAATCCAGTCACCCTAGAATTTAAGTGGAAGCTGGAATCTCCAGCAAGGGGGGGGGGAGTTGTATCAGGTCGTTGAAGGAAGGAACCAGGAGAAATTGGTACGAAGTATATAGGAAGCTGGGTGGTAGGATAGGTACTAGAAAATGGGTAGTACCTGATCGTGGTGAAGTAATTTTAATTTTATAAGAAGCGGTCGCAATTACATATTTTCAAGAAGCGGTCGCATTTGCAAAAGTTTCTCCAGAGGATGTGCCCTGATCATTAACACGTTGACGACGATGGCAGACAATGGTGTCTGCCACTATATTGTTCTAATAATAAAGATGTACGAACAGCCAAGTTTGCTGGAAACTTATCCCTGGGGGTAGCTTGTCCCTCTGAAGTGGGTACCACAGTCGCTTGGCACCGCGCCACAGGCGCCGGCGCCAAAATACCATAAATCACCAACTCCGCTGAAAACTTGTCTCTTGGGGCAGCATTACCCTTGAACACGAATATCATTGTGTTAGCTTTCGTGCTGCGGTGCCCCCCCTGCTTGTCTTTTCAGTTTTTTTTTCTCCAGATCGTGTTTTCCGATGAGAAGAAGTTCAACTGCGACGGCCCAGATGGAAATAGATTCTACTGGCACGATCTCAGGAAAGATAAGCTCAATTTTTCGAGGCGGAACTTCAGAGGGGGTGGTGTCATGGTCTGGGCTGCGATCGCATCAACGGGACGTTTGAAGCTGTGCTTCGTATCGAAGAAAATGAACTCTTCCGACTACGTAGAGGTAATGCGACGAGGTCTGTTACCTTTCTGGCGAAGGATACGGCATGAAAGTCCTGTATTCGTGCAAGACAATGCACCAATCCATGTCAGCCGGAGCACTCAAGCGTGGTTCAGCCGTCATCAGATCACTCTTTTGCCCTGGCCAGCGAATAGCCCAGACCTAAACCCTATCGAGAATGTTTGGGGCTTCATGGTACGCAGGATATACGCGCACAATGCGCGATTCGAAAATGTCCGTGAGCTCAAGGAGGCTATCATTGATGCATGGCACCATGTCGACAAAACACTTATAGACCACCTCTATTCGAGCATGGACAACCGCATTTTCGAACTTATTCGAAAGAATGGGGCTGCAATAGATTATTGAAACGACGATTTATTAAATTTGTTGTACACTTGTTGTTTTCTGAATCGATTCGTTTAGTGGCTGTATACTTGTGGGACATTGTCATAGTGAGAAATTTTCAAAAAATAAAGAAAGTTGAAGTTGCTGTGGAAAGTCAGTTCTCGGAGTTGGCATGCAAATTGGTACTGGTAATTACCACATTTTATACCTAGAGGCTTTTTTTGAAAACGTCGTGTAGGGAGGGATATTGTGAGATTTATGGGTGGCTGTATACTTTTGGGACGCAGTGTAGTTCCATACTCTAGACTGATTGCCTTTGCAGCTGTTGCTGTGAATTCGTGTTGCTGGTGTACTGCGTTACCCTAATTCAATGAGAAGCGACATCCTTCAGGAATTGTGCAGTAATCTCCGTCGGTCAGTCCCCTTCAATGTAAGCCATTCTCTGCAAATATGTGTGAAGGACTGCCGACTACTATATGTCAGTCTCGCCCCCCAACATCTTTAGGATCAGCGGATGAGATTTCGCTGTACTCGTCGATAATGCTCTCGTGGTTCCAACAAGTCCGATTTCTGACGTAGAGGGACTGCAGAAGAAACTCTAGCGTTTCGTGTTTGAAGTTGGGCAGTTGGGAAGTGGAATTCAGATGTGGCGGAAAAATAGCCAGGTCGATATGACCACTTTCCGGGAAGAAATTTCCTCTACGACCTTCACACGGCCTCAAACTGGCTGCTGAGGTTTTTGGCCTATGCATGTGTTGCGTGTTGTGGAAGCTCACAAAAGCCTGAGTGGCTTGCTACACACTTACTGGGCTTCCACACATCTTGAAGGGTGTATAGCTTTATCCAAACGATCTATTACAACAAGGTAGGCGGGATTCATGATAGCTGGACAGGGCGTACGTACAGAACAATCAAAAAAGAATAGTGGCAAGAGAACTTCTATGAATAGGAGTGACAGCTTTTCTGTAGGCTCACTGAAAAAACTCGTTAGACTCGCCCTAACTCGCCCTCGCTCAGCGCGCAATCATCAAAGTAACGAAGAACAGCTATGACGAGCACATAGTTTCGACCTTTCGGTGAACACGAGATCCTTCACTTTCAACGTGAAGCAGAGCCGTACACGGATTCAAAAGCTAGAAGACCTTCCCCAGGAAAAATGGTATTTTCTCTGTTTGGTAAGGCGAAAGTTCGCGCTCGGGATTTAATCCGAGAATTCGAATTTATCTGCAACAAGAGGGTCTCTCCACTTCTACTTGTGGTATATAGGAAATGAAACGCGGCGTTATTCAACTGCTCTATGGAATGAGCCAGGTTCTCGACCTTCGAGTCGTGATGACATTCAATAGCGAATTGGAATTAAGGCAACAACCGGCTGTCCATGATTTCTTGTCGATCAGATGACAATGTTGACCTGTTACTACGCAGGAGTTTTTCTGTGGAATTTCCTCGCGCAGATAAACCCGCGGGGGCCTTAATCATGGCAGGTGGAGAAGCGGTCAGACAAGACTCCCCCCATGTTCCTCCGACATACGCATTACCGGGTTAGGAGTGCAAAGCCATACCAAGATTCTTTCCAGCTATGGATGGAGGCCATTGGGCGGTAATTTCGTAGCATTGATAAAACATTCATGAACAAAATCTTCATTATAACACTTCAAACAACTTTTTCTCCTTTCCCAAGTTTCATGTTCCGGTCGTGATAACGGAAAATGTCATCAAGCAGACACTCAGTTTTCTCCATGAACAATTTCGCAACCCTAGAATATACCACAAACTCTAGTGTACGTAAAGCGTTATGATGTCACTGGCACTACCTTCTTTTTGAGGATCCTCATCGGTGGTCTTACACACCAGCTCGAAAAATGATCCTGTCATAGGCACTATCATAAACGCGCCGATCGGAAAGTATTGGCGATAAGCTTCTTTGAGCTGAAAGGATTCGGAGTTCAGGAGGTTAGTTCAGTTCGAGGAAGCATTTAGAAGCCAGATATGTAAGCTTACTTACTTGATCAAGAGTGTATGGCATTTTCCTGTCACCTACTTCTTGATTTGAGATAAAACCAATAGAATCCTCAGCGAGCTGTTCCCAATGTTCTTCGGCGATCCTTGCCGCTGAGACATGCACGAAAGTACCGCACAAGATTCGGTTGGCCTGCAGGTCAGCCGAAATGTGCTGGTCTGAGTTGAGTTTTGGTTCATTGTAATAAAGATACACTCAGTTCTACGTTTGCCTTGGAAAGCGCCCATAGATGTTACCTGGTAGTCCACAACAGCAGCCATGCTAAGATTAGATCCATTTTGCCTCCACAAAACATTCATGGACCATAAATCACCGTGACATAAGACATTTTCCATTCCTGGAAATGAATATCTTGTCTGGAGAAAGAGAAAAAGCGTGGCAAATCGCTTTTCCTTGCATGCACTGCCCAGGCACCAAAACTACACGTAGAGCTCTATCCTTCGGCGCCTTACTCAGACATTAATTGGATTCCCCTCTAACGAGGGGTGCGTTCCTTCTGGTCGCAGTGAAGCTTACACAATCTTCTGTAGCAAGCTTTCTGTAGATGGGTCAGCAGCACGTTGGTGGGTTTTTCAAAAAAACCAACAAACATTTTCAAACGGACTTTAATTTGCCTCTTTTGAATAGCAGCGGTGCTTAGGAATTACCTCTAGCATGTACGCAATAGATTATAACCTTCCGGTGCAACACCTGGAACTGCGAAATCAAAATAGCCTGGCTGGTCGCCCTTAATCAGCCTCAGGCGCGCGATTGTATAAGTGCACAGCTAGAAAAGAATAGCAACTGAAGTCAGCAAACAATGCAAAACACCTGACTTGGCGTCTAAATATTCTAAACATAGGCGTGGGACTAAGGTTGCCGGTAATCTTCTGCAATGTTGTTTTATTTGAATGCTACATCTCATCTCCTTGAATATATCCGCCAACATCTTCACCACCGTACCTTTCACCTTGCACGCCATTTCTCCGCGTTCACCCGCCCGCCCCGCCCGGAACCACGATTTCAAATACCTTCACCTATTTCACACAATTTTTTGGAGCATATATTTCCCCATTTTCTCCTGTCTTTCCATTTCCTTGCTTTTCTGTCGTCTTTATTCTGTTGGAATACATATGCGAATTTCGGGTTCCACGCCTAAAGAATGCGAAACACGTAAGGCTCGCTTTATAACTTTGGCGGGCAGCGTAGCGTAGCGCTGCACGCCGTACGCCCAAGCAGCAGTGCCGGGAGAGGATGCATATCGATCTATAGCGTTCTGCAGCGGTCACCAGGCGTACGCTAGCGTCACGCTAGCGTTACGCCAGCGTTTCTCCAGTGTTTCACCAGCGTTTTGCTAGCGTTTGCAGCGGCAGGGGAAGTAGAGACTATGGGAGAGCTGGAGGGTACAAAAACACCATCGATTGCGCGTCTCTCACTTGCCCTCAGTCTTTACAATACCACATCCGATTCCCGCCGTCTGCTGACGGCCACACTGTCTCTACTATAACACCATCGATTCCGCTTCCTCATGCCGCCACAAACGCTGGGAACGCTGCGTACGCTAGCAGTTACCTGGTGACGCTGGGATGCTAGATCGCTATGCATCCTCCTCCCCGTAGCTGGCTGGCGTTTATCGCTGGAAGCGCTTGACGCTACACCTGCCGCAAAGTACAGACACGAGCCTAAACAGTGATAGAGATTCGTATACGAGCACTACTGATGCTTGACTTTACCTAGCCGATTCGGCTAGCGCTTCTGCGCGCTATTTCCTGTATGAAGTAGACAAAACAAACTGCTGCGAAACAGCCTATCGAAGCCTTCTAAGGTATCGTTGTGGAAAAATCCCAGTTAGATGAAAATCAGAACCCACACGATCTACAGAAAGGTCACGCCGCCGGAAAATTGAAGGGTCTGAATTTTCTAGAATACCTATCACACCAGTAGAAACTATGTATTATGTGTAGCAGGATTTCTGAGTTAATTTGCGAATTCCCTCTACAGTATATTCGAAGAGCAGGTCTTCAGGCATACAACACGTTAGATCTGCAAAAGGCTTCATTACCCTACATGACTGCGCGCAATTCCGTTAGCCCTGGAAAAGCTTTCTTTCAAGAAGATTCGCGACGTGCTGTGGTACGATTAACGTTAATGAAATGCCTGGGCGTCTTCCAAGTAGCAAATGAAGCTCCAAGTACCTGAGCAATCGTCTGTATCAACTCACCAAGCTCCTGGCTCATATTGTCCACCCCACCAGTCCAGGTTGAACCATATCCGGCAAAATCGCCTTCAAACGCTCGCCCTTCTCCGCAAACCTTCCATCGTCGAATGAAGAGAACAACTTCATTATTTGTTCTATGGTCTAAAGAGTACCAAAAAATGAAGCAGCTAATTTTTCCATTTTCGAGCCCGATTGTTCAACCTATGCCGTACCTCCTTCTGGAATATCGCTCCGAAAAGTGTTTTGAAGGGAGATATGTACTCATTTCTTTCCTCCAACGGCATTTCGAGGGAACTTGCCTCCATCACAGCGCTTGCCGTCTTTGTGTCGTAGAATCTTAAAAAGGTCGTATCCGTTCGTCGTACGAGTCTATAGGTGATACTTTTTATTTTTGCCAGTAAAGGATCGGATCTGATCTGCCGTTTATTCCACTCACAGTGACATGTCCAATCACCGTACTCAGAGCTAAACTGTGGGCCTTTAAATCCTTTGGTGTGACGTTTTCGTATATATGAACAACTTTCAGGTCTTCTAGGTACTCCATGATGATGTACCCTTTGACTGGATTCCATTCTGTGAACATCTTCGTGCAGTAAATCTGAAGAATCAATAATTCAGAGGATTGTATCACATGAAACTTGAATGTTGGCCTGCTTTCACTTAACGTTTGCCTACTTTATCAGAAGAATCTGAGTTGTGGCCTAAAGTGAAGAGCCGGCAGACGGACTCGAAATCCGCGATCTCCCGCCCTGATCGGCAAGTGTGTTATCCTGTACGCACACCGGAGGCCACTCATCCGTTGCTCGATAAGTGTACGTCGGATAACGCAATCGGGCAGCTGAAGTGCGGGTTCGAGCTCTGTATAGCATCTCATTTTTGCCCTCGACTTTCAAGGCATAAGTTAGACTTTATTGAATTCTGATTGGACATTTCCACTACCACATTCAACAGCACATTGTACACTAAAATGATACTCCCCACAGCCTTCCGGACAAGCGCCATCGAGAGAGATTCTGGCGCGACTGCAGTGCCGGGGCCACTTATGTAGACCACCTTGAGCTCCGGCCGAACCCAGCAATCGAAGGGGTTTGGGTCAGGTGACACACTTAGATATTCTGTCTTCTTTAGGTACTCAACGCCATTCCATTCCAAGTCGGCGAAAGTTTCTCTAACGCCCTCGAATTCCACTGGTGGCTACCCAATTCCTGCAGGCAGTACAAAAAGTTCCGCAAGAAGGTATCTGGGCGACGACATGTGGGGAGAAAATTCTTTCTCGAGTTGCTTCGATGTATAACGTTCCAGCGCTCACCGGCTTCAGTACGGGGGGGAAAAAAAAAAAAAACCCCAGGAAGAATAAAAACAAATATCGGGCATAACATTCCAGGAGTTTCTGGTCCATATCATCAACCCGCACTTTGGCTACTGCGGTGAAAAGATGATATCCTGGGCAGTGGCGACGTTGTCGAAGCTGCTCGATGTTGGAGTTCTTTCAGGTCAAGAGTGCCGATCTCCATGTAGCTGTTTATGAGTGGCGCCATACAAGAATTTTCGCAGTTGTTTGGAGGTAACGTGAATGCCATAGGCCTTCCCAGTCTACTTGCGAGATGACTTCATATTTTGGTGTACATGAAGGTGATGGAAGAGAGCCTACTCTGCTTATGGAGGAACACCTTGGGTATCCGCCCTGGTACTACTTCCCGTTTTCATTCTGTGCTGCGAAAACTTCACCGATATGTGACTGCTGAACCGTCTTTTTTGGCTCCCCTCCTGTATGTAGGAACAACCAATCATATAACTCTCCAATGTAGCAGTAAAATTTATGACCGAAAAATTTTGCGAACCTTTGGAATATGTATCTTCTCCTTGGGAACTTTCTTCAAATGGGTATAGGTCCTCACTTCGGCATTGTGACACTGAAACAGTTCAAAAGTGTTATCAAAGGCTGCCACGATTATGGGCAATTAAGGGAAAGCAGCTCAGTTGACAGTAGTACAGTACTCGCCTTATTTGCTCGAGAAATAACGAGAAAAAAATGCAAACTCGCACCTCCTTTGCTTTTATTCGCTGTGGCCGTGTTTCCTATGTGCTTATCCATGGAGCTCTTTACACAGTTAGAATCACCTCCTCACACTTTATACGTCAACCAGTCGGATCGCCCGGCTAACGCCGAGCTCTCCTCCTTCTTGGAAGCCCGGCTTCGCCGGGCAAGCAACTGCTTTAGAGCCTCACTTCTTAACTCGTGAAAGAAAGGAACAAAGAGGGCATAAGCAGGGCGATACTACTGTCTTAGGCATTTATGATGCTCTCATGGTGCCTAACCGGTGTCTTCTAATCAAATAAATGTAGGAACGCGCCATATAGTCGCAGGGCACATTCACTTTTATAATGAAAGGTTTGAAATCTGGTCATGGATAACCGATTACTGTCCTCCCCATCTTATGACAGCCACGGATTCTTCGGTCTCCGCAGTCGCTGCGTGCTCCTGTTCAGGCGAGCGTTGGTCGCGCCAATATGGTACCCCTTCACCTCACCTATCCCCAAACTAACCTCAGCTTATTCCGCCGCTCAAAGCACCCTCGGTCACACTCCAGTGCTATAACGCGAATAGCCCGTGCAATGGTTCTGAGTGCACTAAATGGTTGTGTTATGTTGTGGAGGGTGTTATGACTATCAAAACGCTACCACAATTTGATAATGCAACATTAATCGGTCAGTTCCGATTGCGGTCGATCCATTTTCTTCCCATCTTGTCGCAACCGTAGACGCCTTACCGCCGCAGGGGCTATGTGCTCCTAATCGCGAAATCGCCGTTCTCATCTGGTATCCCCTCACCACATCATATCCCACTGACCCTATTTAACCGGCACCCACCCCGCACGTGGTATGCAGCCGCCATGCAACATAGGGACACTACTCCGCCACTGTTCTTACCACCGCCTTGCTCGTAACTCACGTCCAGCTCCTCCAAGCGAGCAGCTCCTGCAGTAGCACAGAGTATATCACAGTGGTTGGCTTAGATAGCGGGAGCGATTCACAATCCAAACAACTTCTTAGTTCGTTGCTGTAAGATGGATTAGCTTGCAGTTTTGCTAGCGGTTCTTTCCTTCTCTCTTGCCGCCTGCTCCTATTCAAGCGTACGCTACGCATCCCCTTACTGTACCCAGTTTGCCCGATTCAATCCATATGCCTCCATCCCCTGCATGGGCTCAGACGACTGAGTACGCGCAAGGGAGTGAGGATGGGAGAAGGGGGTCACTCGATACTAACTCCCACCTTCCTCACCTCACCCCATTCCGTACTCCTCCGCGGTCTGTTGCTCCCACTCCACACCCCCCCCCCACCTTGCCCCTTGCACGCGCTTACGTCCAACTGCCACGCGAGCAACCCGTACAATGGCTCGGAGTGTAGTGGTTTTCTTATATAGTGGAGAGTGTTATCACAACGCGAAAAACATTCTTAGTTCGTTACGGTAACTTAGATCGGCTTGCAGTTTTGTTAGCGGTTGTTTCCTCATCCCTTGGTGCGCGTTTCTACTGAAACGCGCGCTACCCCCTCACTGTACCCCCCCCCCCCCCGCGACCCTCCCCTCTGCCTCCCTCCCATACACGTGCTCAGCTCCGGTCCCAGTCGGTAGCGGTTTGCCTATGCGGGTCGTTTTCGCCTCCAGCGAACTCGAACCCGTGAAGTATTTTGCGGACGGACAGACAAACATACATACATACATACCTACATACATACATACATACAAACATACAAACCGACACACAAAGTTACTGGTTTATAGAATGAAAGGATACCG